CCCGTCCCTCCCCCCCCACTCCTCCCCCCCCACTCCCCGTCCCTCCCCTCCCCCCCCACGCGCCCCCCTGCCCCTTTCCTCCCTCTCCCCCCCCACGCGCCCCCCTGCCCTTTCCTCCTCTCCCCCCCCAGCGCCCCCTGCCCTTTCCTCCCACCAGCTCTCCACAGTGCCACCTGCCCATCCCTCCCGCCCCCCGGGGCCCTGGTGCGCCCCCTGCCCCGCCCCTCACCGTGGCAGGGCGCCCCCTAGCTCTGTGCTGGGTGCCTGTTCAGCCTGCTGGCAGGGGGAGGGTTACAGAAGCCAAAGAAGCAGCTGGCTGCCAGCCCCCAAATCTCTGTAGCCACCATGTCCGCTTTAACAGATTGGGCTCACCTCCCTGCACCCCAAGATATCCTGGATACCCCCACCTGCTGTGCCTGGTCCTCGGGATGGTACCCCCGTCCTCCAGGGAGCACCCCTTACTCCTGCTGAGATGGGCAAGGCCAGTGCACATGAGCGCCCTATGGGGGGCCCCTTTTTTCGACAAGTACAGGGGATACAGGTGGGGGGAACACGGGGGGCTTAGAGGGGAGGAACGAGAGTGGATACAGGGAAGGGGAAGGGGAGCCTTGATGGAGGATACAGGGAGGGGGCACACGGGGCCCTCGGCGGTGCGGATACGGGCAGGGGGCACACAGGGGCTCAGCAGAGGAATATGGGGGGCTCGGCCATGGATACAGGCAGAAGGAATACGGGGGGCTCAACAGGGGCTTTAGGTGGGGGGAATATGGGGGCCTTGGCAGGGGGAAGATGCGGGGGCTCGGCAGTGGATACAGTTGGGGCACATGGGGGCTCAGCAGTGGATACAGGCATAGGGAATATGTGGGGCTCGGCAGGGAATTATGGGGGGCTCAGCAGGGGATACAGGCGGGGGGACATGTGGGGCTCGGCAGGGAATTATGGGGGGCTCGGCAGGGGATACAGGCGGGGGATATGTGGGGCTCGGCAGGGAATTCTGAGGGGTCAGCAGGGGATACAGGCGGGGGGATATGTGGGGCTCGGCAGGGAATTATGGGGGGCTCGGCAGGGAATACAGGCGGGGGGATATGTGGGGCTCGGCAGGGAATTATGGGGGGCTCGGCAGGGGATACAGGTGGGGGGATATGTGGGGCTCGGCAGGGAATTCTGAGGGGCTCAGCAGGGGATACAGGCGGGGGCTCGGTGGAGTTACCTGCTGGGATGCGGTTGGTGAGGTTGTGCAGCTGCCCCTCGGGTCGGCACTTCTCCTTCTTCAGCCCCAACAGCCGCGGCTCTGGCTCGGGGTCGCGGTTCTCGTCTATACCCAGCTCCTCCTTCTGCATGGCCCTTGCCCCACACACCTGCACTGCCGCAGAACTGCCCCACGGGACCCCTGCCCCACAGAGCCTGGGCAACCCCGGACCGACCCTAGCGCCCCTCTGCCAGCACGGGGGGACCCTGGACAGCCCCCTGCCCCCCAGACACCCGCAACACAGCCCCCTCCCTACTACCTCTCGCAGGGAACTTAATACAACCCTGCCCCCCGTGCACCCTAGACACCCCCAGCACAGCCCCTTGCTCCCCAGACCCCCCTGCTCCTAGACACCCCCAGCAGAGCCCCTTGCTCCCCAGACCCCCTGCTCCTACGACCCCCCAACACAGCCCCTTGCTCCCCAGACCCCCTGCTCCTAGACACCCACAACACAGCCCCTTGCTCCCCAGACCCCCTGCTCCTAGACACCCACAGCACAGCCCCTTGCTCCTCAGACCCCCTGCTCCTAGACACCCACAGCACAGCCCCCTGCTCCCCAGCCCCCCTGCCCTCCAGCCCCCCCAGCACAGCCCCCCGACTCCCTGTGCGCCCCAGACACCCCTCAGCCCAGCCCAGCTCAGCCCCCCGCCCGCTGCAGGCCGCTCGCT